ACTGTTAGTCTTTGAGTTTGTGTGAGTGTTAGGCTGCTTAACACATTTTCGAAGAGTTAAGGTCGCACGGACTTAGCAAAGAAATTAAATGCGTTACAGTAAGCACATAATCCGTAACAAAGAGTGATCAGATTTTAATCAGATGAAGTAAAAAAGAATGACAACTTAAATTGCTGAGCTGGCCTTTCTATATATGTTTGTAACAGAACAAGGAAATGAGACCTTCCATGGAAGTGGTATTGGAGGAATTGAAGAGAATTGAAAGTGGAGAGTGCAAGCCAAAGAATCTAAACAATAAAAATGAAGTGTTGAAGAGCATGCAACCAACAGCTTCATCACCAGATTGTGATGAGGCTTCTTACTTGTTGAAGAATATAGGTTGTCACCTACATCCGTTAAAGCAAAATGGTCGGGCTAGTGGCGACACCACATCTAGTGTCAGTTGTTACGGTTTAAATTATGTCTTTGGTATAATCTTTTAAATTGTTTTTGCCAACAAGCTGCCCGATCCACAGTGTGGATAATGAATATGTTTTTCAATTATCTCTTTGGTATAATCTTTTAAATTACACTTAATTAATATTAGGACAACTATCGAAAACTATCCCTATATTTTCAGCCATTACCAAACAAAATAACACTATTTATAAAATCATCAAAAACTACCCCTGGCCCTAACTTCCATCTATTACCGTTAGTTGGATAAATTTATGCTAGCCCTGAGATTTTGGTTCACTTACGAAGGACAATAATTTCAAGAACTTTTATTTTAAAATATATCAAGGATATATGTTATCTAGCATAGAATTTGATATACAAATTAAAACTATACAACACTTTAAACCCGTAACTTTTAACCTCACTAAAATATTTTATTTTAAAATAATAATAATAATAATAGAAAATTTCAAATTTTAGAAAACATTCCATAAAAATTGTACCAAAAAAAAAAAAAAAAGCAGAAAGAATAATTCCCAGCCACTCTCACTCATTTTTACAATATTCCCATTATTTTGCAACGCAAATATAGAATAATTTGATAATAACAAAAAAAAAAAAAAAAAAAACCCATAAATAAATTTAAAAAATCATATTCGAAGTTAATATTAAAAAACTTGAATTCCTCAAATTTATGTTCTGGTAAATTTATGTCATCAATAATAAATTTAAGTAGGTAAGACATAAAATGAGATTTTATAAGTATAAGAATTTTTAAATAAAAATTAGTGGTTGATAGCGGTTTAGTAAAGTAGAATAAAAAAAATGAAAGATAAATAATATATAATACAAAAAAAAAATTAAAAAATTAAGAATATGTAATATTTTAAAAGTTTAATTTAAAAAAAATGATTTTCTAAGGGGTAAAATGTATTTCATAAGAATATAAAGAGTTACAGAAAGATTGTACAAGGGAATTTATGGTAAAATTTAAATAGACCCCTTTGTCACTAACTGTGGATGGAAGTTAGGCCAGGGGTGGTTTATGATGATTTTGTAAATAGTGTTAATTTGGTCGTAACTGAAAATATAAGGCTGGTTTTGGTAATTTTATTTTTATTTTTAAGTCCAAACGTTTTCCAACTTTCGGTTTGTTCAAGTCTTCACAAACAGAATTTCAAGTCAATTGCGTGGTCTAGAGGTTAAAAAACTTAACGTACTAGAAAATGCAGCATCAGAATGATAGAATTAAAGAACTCAACACTAGTTTCTGAAGAGCTTAGTTTGTTAAATTGTTGCCAACTAGAGTTGAGTTTAGAAAGTCTGGTGTCTCTTATCTTGGTCCTTCTTTTATCTCTTATCTTTTACTTGTTTCTTTGGCTTGAGGAAAAGGGCTTCTGGCCAAAAGTCATTCTTTCCATTGTGGAGATCTTGGGCTTCTGGGATTCCCCTTCTCAAATGAAACGTATCCTGAAGTGGATTCTTGAGCAAGTTCCCGTATTCAATTGGGAAAAGATGGGCCCTTTTTTTATGTTTCAACTATCACGCATGATGATACGAATACGCTTACGCCTCAAGATCGACCTGGATTGGGAAAGCCTCCTTTGTACAACCGTAGTTGTGTTGAATCCTGAGAAATTTTTACCATTCCTAGCCCTCCTTTTATGTCTTTTGAAGCATTACAACCGAACAATCAAACCATGTTGAAATGTCAGGGTAAGACGAATCACAACCTCTGCGTAAAGTATACTCTTACCTGTAATGACTCCAAACACTCCATTATCTTTTACAATGGCTCAAATCATCATCATGGATCATCAACAGTTCCTTCTGACTGTTCACTTATCCCATCCAAAATGAACAAGGCTCAAAATGGTCTTGACGTCTCGAATTTCTACACCGATTGGTTCCAACTTCAAGTGAATGTAACCAGAGAATGTCGTGATTGTCATTTTCATAGAGGAGGTGCATGCCAAATTGACCACCACGGAAAATTTCATTGTCAAAATGCTAGAACAGGTATGACCAAAGAAACAGTAAGGTACTAGAACTTGCACATTCTGGTTTGATATTGGAAGTTAATTCTTTGATTCTGATTAGCCTCAGTCTTGTCACCTGGGTTTGCAGGAAATAAGAAAGCTAACTTAGAATGTCACAACAAGTTGTATATTAGTTTACAGTTTTAATGTCTCTGTTCTATTTATGATCGTATCATGAATTTGGAGGATGCAGATAACAATATTTATTGTTTTCAAAGGTAACACTTTGTAACTATTTTTGCAGATGCAAAAATATCGAATCTAGGCATAGATTTAAAAATTAACAAAAATACCCTTCTAAGTTTGTTAATTTACTAAACACCTCTGTAATAAAATATTAAAAATTAACAAAAATACCCCCACCCACCCATTAAATACCGATAGTCGATCACCACCACTGGAAGGTGGCCGAAGTCGTCGTATCGATGCACGACCGGCTGGATCTGGCTAGTCGTGTGCCGATATGACCTTTTTCGACAAGAGTCACGGCGGATCTGGCCAGAAAATATCAAATCTATGGCCAAAGATCTGGCCGTTGACGGCTAGATCCTTGGTCGTATCCAGATCCATTGTGGATATTGTCGGAAAAAGCTAGATCGATTACTACCGACCAGATCTAGCCAATAGTACACCAATATACCAGATTTTGGCCATCGTCTGGTAGGGGCCTAGTTAGTAAATACGCGTTTTATACGCGAATTATACGCCCAGCCGTATAATTCACGTATAAAACGCGTTTTAACGTATGTTATAAAAATTGCCGAATTATACGCGTATAATATGAATACCCGTATAATTCGCGAATTATTGCAAAAAAAAAAAAAAAAACCTATTGCTCACCCCAAAACGACGTCGTTTTAGGGGGTTTAATTCAAAATTACACTGTATCTCTTCTCTTCTTCAGTTCTTCTCCTTCCTCAGTTCTGCGACCGATGACATTTTCAGCTTTTTTTCCTCAGATCTTCGACGTTTTCAGCTTTTCTGCCAATACTTCTCCTTCCTCAGCTCGGACGGCGAACTGGTTGAGATTTTAATGGGTTTGTGTTTGTGTTTGGGGGAGAAGAATAAGTTTAAAGAAAGGAAATTATTGGCAGAAAAAATAACCTGTAAAGCAGATGCCATTGTTGGAACTCTGGAAGAAGCAGTTGGCTTTGTGGGTGAGACCGTGAGACAATGAGAGATGATTTGATTGAAGAAGAGAAAGGGAGGGGGGTTTTCAAGATGGGTCACGGGTGTTTAATTTGTGTTTGTGGTGGATTTCAACACTCAACACTGTAACTGTAGATTACATTTTATAATTCTATTGCATAAACAAAAAAAAAAAATATATATATATATATTTTCTATTGGTGGGATAGAACAAGACATGGGGTGGGATAGAACAAGACATGGCCTGGGAATTTGTTAAGGCAAAGAAAAGATTAACGTTACCATAGGCAAAAGCAAAAGCAAAAGATTTAATTGAAGTCAATGCTGAGATACATTAATAATTAGTCCATAAAAGTATCCAAACTAGGATCAATATTGCCATATTTTTCAAAACGTATTATTGATAATATACCGTATTAAACCCGTATATACCCGCATCGTATTTTTTCCGTATCCGAATTTTATGACCGAATTTTTATAAACGTATTTTTCACTGTTTGCCGTATTATACCTGTAAAATTCCCGTACCGTTTTTTTGCCGTACCCGTATTTACTAACTAGGGGTAGGGGTGATCGGAATCTAGCAAATGTAGGTTGATAGGGTATTTTTGTTAATTTCTAATATTTTTTGGGGTGTTTAGTTAAATTAATAAACTTAGAGAGTTTAAAAAAATTAAATAAGTAGAATAATATTTTTAGAATAAAGAAATAAATGTATATTTTGGATAGTACAGGGGAGTAATTGTGAAACAAATGCACCCGCATTCTTATGTTCATATATTGGAGATATTTTTCAACATAAACTTTGAAAAGTCAAATTCTGTTCCTTTTCCTCCACACGGTGGAATTTTTATTTTATTTTGAACATCTTCAATAATTCAAACATAATATGAGCATCATAAATGACAGTAATCAAGATGCTTTCTGACATTAAATTAAACATTTTTAACCTTCTTATCACTTACTCCAAAGATTTAAGTCAATCAAAAAGCAGATTTTCAATCAGTTTATAACTGACCAAAGGTTAGTTAGTTGAAAATTGAAATGGCAGTAGCTTGATGTCTAAGGTAAAATTATTTTTTTAAACTTTGTTATAATATTATAAACTATGTTTGATTTATATTAAACATGTAACATAAGAGTTGTAGGTAAATAAAATAAGAGAAGAGAAGATCTTTTTCTGATTTTTCCAGTCATTGGAGGACCAGTCCATAAAGTTTTCCCCATCATGATTTAGAAACTGTCCCAAACTTTCTCATGTCTACAAGTCTTCGCCGTCTACTTTCCAAGTCAACTGCGTGTTGTAGAGGATAAACAACTGAAAGTACAGGGAAAATGCAGCACCACAAATAAAATAAAAGATATCAAGTTTTTTCAAAGAGTTCTTATGTTTGTAAAATCTGTTGCCAGTCAGTGATTAGTTTTTAGAATGTCTGGTGTGCCTTATCTTGTGTTCTTCTTTATCTCTCATCTTTTAATTCTTTGTTTGGCTCAAGAAGAAAAGGGCTCCAGCCCAAAATGTCAGCATTTCGATTGTGGAATTTTCCGCAATTTAAGCTTCCCCTTTTACAATGAAACGTATTCTGAGTGTGGATTCTTGACAGTAGAAGGCTGCAATGAACAAGTTCAGAAGATACGACTGGGGAAGGATGGGCCACTGTTTCATGTTACAGGCATCACCAAGGATAATACGCTTCTGCTTCAAGAGAAACCAGAATATGAAAAGCCTTTCGACCACCGTAGCTGTGTTGAATACTTGAAGAATTTTACCATTCCCAGCTCTCCTATTCTCTCTTTTGAGGTATTACCAAAAAATCAAATCCTGTTCCAATGTCCCGGTTCGCCTTACACTGCCCCAGAAGATTACGGTTCGCTTTGCAATGACTGCAACCACTCAATTATCTACTACAAAGGCTCAAATCATGGAGAACCATTAAGTCCTCGTGACTGCTCACCTATTCCGCTTCAAATGAACAAGACTCCAAAGGGTGTTGATTACTTTAATGTGTCTACTGGCTGGTTCCGTATTCAGGTGAATGTGACGAAGGAATGTCTTGATTGTAATAATAGAGGAAGCCAATGTCGAATTGACAACAAGATAAATTTTCAATGTCCAAAGGCCCGAAAAGGTATGATGAACTTACATTACGAGGTCCTAGAACTTTAACATATTTGTTTATTCTTCGAAGTTGGGAGTCATTTTTTTATATATTTATAAAGCTAATTCTAGTTCCAACTTATTGTTTAATATCACGCCACAAATTGAATAATTCTCTTCGATTTTGATTGGTCCCTCACTTGGCTTTGGACTTTGGAGGAAGTTAGTAAGCTGCTTAGTTTGTCACAGCAATAGTTTCAGACAGAACAGTTCTATCAGCATGATCCTGTCACATATTTGGATGGTGCAGATAACTACTAACACTGTTGCATTTGTATTTTTATTTGCAGAAAATGGAAGCCTATTGAAGACAGGCATAGGAGTAGGTAATATACCTCTCTTATCAAATCAAATGTTATAATTATGAAAAATTCCATTTCTGCCTCATATGCTCCTATGCAACCGTAGCTGAGTAGTATTTTGTGGTTTTCCTCATCTGCTGGCAATAAAATTTGCAATTGTTATCTTTGCTTATTAGGAATTGGAGTTGGAGGATTAACAGTCCTTATAGTGGTTCTATTAATTTGGTTCATTCGTCGTCGTAAGAAACAAAAATATGATAACTTCAACTCAAGATACACTGCTTCAAATCCTTCCTCCAACTCAGAGCTGCAACTAGGCAGTGCCTATTATGGGGTCCCTATCTTCTCCTACACTGAACTTGCAGAAGCTACCAATAATTTTAGTGAGGCAAATGAAGTTGGGCACGGAGGCTTTGGAACGGTATACTATGGTAAGAAGATAAACTCTTTTATGTTTCAATTGAATGTAGTATCTAATTTCCAGAGAAAAGAAGAAAAAAACTAGAAGGGCTTACTTAACAGGTTGCTGAATGGCCTATTTCACCCTTTTCAATCAGCAAAACTTCGCGATGAACGGGAAGTTGCTGTCAAGCGTCTATATGAGCACAACCACAGAAGGCATCAGCAGTTTATGAATGAAATTAAGATCCTCACACATTTGCGCCATAAAAATCTGGTCTCCCTCTATGGCTGCACTTCTTGTGACAGTCCGAAGGGCCTCCTCCTTGTGTATGAATACGTTAACAATGGAACTGTTGCAGATCACCTCCATGGTGATCGAGCGAAGCCTGGTCCACTCACTTGGCCTATTCGTTTGAACATCGCCATTGAAACTGCCAGCGCATTGGTCTATCTCCATGCTTCTGATATCATACACCACGATGTCAAGACTCATAACATTCTTCTTGACAACAACTTTTGTGTAAAAGTTGCAGATTTTGGGCTTTCGCGATGGTTCCCCAATAATGTTACTCATGTTTCAACTGCTCCACAAGGATCTCCAGGCTATGTTGACCCTGAGTATTATCAATGCTACCAGCTAACCGATAAGAGCGATGTTTACAGCTTTGGAGTTGTTCTGATTGAGCTCATATCATCAATGCCTGCTGTTGATATAAACAGGCATAGACATGAGGTCAATTTGGCTAACTTTGCCATGAACAGGATTCAAAAGCGTGCAACTGAGGAGCTGATTGATCCATCTCTTGGATATCAGTCAGATGCAGAAGTCAAAAGGATGACAACTTCAGTTGCAGAGTTGGCATTTCTATGTTTGCAACAGAATAAGGAAATGAGACCTGCCATGGATGAGATCTTGGAGGAACTGAAGAGAATTGAAAGTGGAGAATCCAAGTTGAAGAGTGTGCAGCAGCCACCAGATTGTGACGATCTTGCCTTGATGAAGCACATCCAGATGCCATCCTCACCCATTTCTGTGACAACAAATTGGATCAGTAGTGACACTACATCTAATGTGAGTGGTTAAGTTTTTGGCTTACATGCTGAAAATATGTGTAAACATTTCACTTGTAGAGGTGATGTATATGTGATAAAATGGAGCTGTTTCTTGTGCTTATGTTTTAAGGCTCCTGTGATTTGTTAACTAGTTTCCAGTTTGTATTTTGAAAGCTGATCCTATCTTTTTCACTTGATATTTGACCAGAATTGTCATTGATAGTATAGCAAACAGAGATAACTTCTTGTAATTGTAATGTGAGTTTCCAGTTTCCAGTTTTGGAATCAGAGGATCAACCGTCGTGATAGTTGTTCTGTTAATTTGGTTCATACACCGTCACAAGAAACAAAAATATGCAAGCTTCAACTCAAGATTCATTTCTGATCCCTCCTCAAGATCAGAACTGGAAGTGGGCAGTGCCTGCTTTAGGGTCCCGGTCTTCTCCTACAAAGAACTTGCAGAAGCCACTAATGATTTTAGTCATGAGAAAGAACTTGGAAATGGAGGCTTTGGAAAAGTATACAATGGTAAGAAGCTAAACAATTTATGTTTCTGTCAAATATTTGTAGTTTAGAGGAAGACCTGATTGATTGCTAAATGGCCTCTTTGAACCCTTGCAATAAGCAAAACTTAAAGACGGGAGAGAACTTGCAGTGAAACGCTTTCATGAGCACAACTACAGAAAGTTTGAAAAGTTTATGAACGAAATTGAGATCCTCACTTGATTGTGCCACAAAAATCTTGTGTCCTTTTATGGCTACACTTCGCGTCACAGTCCGCAGGGTCTTACAGGGGTGTATGAATTCATTCCTAATGGAACTGTTGCTGATCATCTTCACGGCAGAAGAGCAAAGGCTGTTTCCCTTCCATGGCCTATTCGTATGAACATTTCAATAGAAACAGCTAGTGCACTGGTTTACCTCCATGCTTCTGATATTATACACCGCGATGTGAAAACTAACAACATCCTTCTTGACAATAGTTTCAATGTAATAGTTTCCAGATTGTTTCCCGCTAATGCTACTCATGTTTTGACCGCCCCACAAGGATCTCCTGGCTATGTTGACCCTGAGTATCATCTATGTTATCAGCTAACTGATAAAAGTGATGTTTATAGCTTTGGAGTTGTCCTGATTGAGCTCATTTCATAAATGCCTCCTGTTAATATGAATAGGCAGAAACAAGAGATTAATTTGGCTTCCTTAACAATAAACAGGATTCAGAATTGTGCAATTGAAGAGTTGATTGACCCATGTCTTGGATATCAACCAGATGAAGAAGTTAAAAGAATGACAACTTCAGTCGCAGAGCTGGCCTTCCTATGTTTGCCGCAAAACAAGGAAATGAGACCTTCCATGGATGAAGTTTTGGAGCAATTGAAGAGAATTGAAACTGGAGAGTGCTAGCAATTATCAAAACATTGAGGCGTTTTTTAGGAACAATGGGTCCCTGGCTCCTAAAAGATATAATTATTCAGAAATCAAGAAAATGACTAACTCATTTAGAGAAAAACTAGGCGAAGGAGGGTACGGAGGTGTTTACAAAGGTAAACTACTCGATGGGCGTAATGTTGCAGTGAAGGTCTTAAAAGAAGCCAAAGGTAATGGTGAAGAATTTATCAATGAGGTGGCTAGTATTATTAGGACTTCTCATGTAAACATAGTTGCTCTTTTAGGCTTTTGTTTTGAGGGCAGTAAAAGAGCTCTTGTTTATGAGTTTATGCCTAATGGTTCTCTGGAGAAGTTCATATATGAAAAAAGTATGGAAACGAATCAAAAGCTGACATGGGAAACCTTATACCAAATTGCAGTGGGCATAGCTCGAGGCTTAGAGTACTTACATCGTGGTTGTAGCACAAGAATTTTGCACTTTGACATAAAACCCCATAATATTCTCCTAGATGAAGAATTTTGTCCAAAGATCTCTGATTTTGGTCTTGCTAAAATTTGCTTGAAGAAAGAGAGTATCATATCATTGACAGGTGCACGAGGAACTATTGGTTATATTGCTCCAGAAGTAGTTAGTAGAAACTTTGGAGAAGTCTCTCACAAGTCGGATGTTTATAGCTATGGAATGATGGTTTTAGAAATGGTTGGAGGAAGAAAAAATGTTGACGTTGGTGTTGATCGTACCAGTGAAATATATTTTCCACATTGGATTTACAACCGTCTTGAACTAGATGAAGAACTTGGACTGAAAGACATTGAAAGTGAAGAGGATCAAGAGTGTGCTAGGAAGATGATCATGGTGAGCTTGTGGTGTATACAAACTAATCCTTCAGACAGGCCAACAATCAGCAGAGTAGTAGATATGTTGGAAGGGAGAAGTTCTATGCAAATCCCACCCAAGCCTTTCCTATCTTCTCCGAGAGCTGCCCCAAGAGATTCTTCATCTACACTACTTAGCTAAATAGTTCATGATGTGTTAGCTGTTAAGAAATCCCACAATAATATGTTTATGTTTGTACTCTTCAATGAAATTCTATTGATACAGTTATATTTAAGCATAAATTAAATTTCTACTCTAAGCAAGGTCTAACCTATTGAAAGCCAAAGAGTAATTGCCTTTTGGGATTTTAACTAGAGGTGAGTGGTTTCGGGTACCCTGCATTTTTCGGGGGAACCGGAATCAGAACCGCAGAGTGCAGGTTCCCAAAAAAAGAACTGGAACCGCACAGTGCAGATTCTTAAATTCAAGGAACCTGAACCTAACCGGGTACCCTGTAAACAATCAATTACCCTCCTATTAGTTTAAAAAATGATAAAAATACCTTAAAAGTTTACAAATACACCCCTAACAAATTTTGATTACTCATTCATTTGTGTCCAATGTAACTCATAAATCCTCTAATCTCTAAACAACACTTGAATTCAATCAATTCATCACAATTCACAAAAAATTTCTCAATCAAGACCAAGATACCAACAATTATTCATCTGTAAATTATTAATTTAATGTTATAAATTGTTAATGTTTATAATGTAATATAATAATATTGTAATTAATTAAGTAATTATTTAATTATAATGTAATCTTATAATTAATTAAATAATCATGCTATACATGTATAATATAATGTTATAATTAATTAAATTTCTAATTATTTAATTAAATATTGTACTAATGTTTATAATGTAATGTTATAATTAATTAAGTAATTATAATATAAATTTATAGTGTAATGTTACAATTAATTATATTTTTTCACCATTTAATTAAGTAATGTACTAATGACTAATGTAGTAAATTAATAATGTTATAAATTTATAACTAATTAAGTAATCATTTAACTATGTAATGCTATAATTAATTAAGTGATCATAATATAATATAATGTAATAATGTTATAATTAATTACGTAATAATTCAATTAAGTAATCATTTGTTTATAATGTAATGTTACAATTAATTAAGTAATCGTACTATAAATTTATAATTTAATGTTAATATGTTATAATTAATTAAATTTCTAATCATTTAATTAAGTATTGTGCTAATCTTTATGTAGTAAATTACTAATGTTTATAATATAATGTCATAATCAATTAAGTAATCATTTAATCATATAATGTTATAATTAATTATGTGATCATACTATAATGTAATATTATAATAAATTAAGTAATCAAACTATAAATCTATAATTTAATATTGTAATTAATTAAATTTCTAATCATTTAATTAATATACTAATGTTTATAATGGAATGTTATAATTGATTAAGTAATCATACTATAAATCTATAATGGAATGTTATAATTGATTAAGTAATCATACCATAACTCTATATTGTAATGTTATAATTAATTAAATTTTTAATCATTTAATTAAGTAATATAATAATGTAATAAATTACTAATGTTTGTAATGTAACGTTATAAATTTATAACTAATTAAGTAATTATTTAACCATATAATGCTATAATTAATTAAGTGATCATAATATAATGTAATGTAATAATGTTATAATTTAATTAAGTAATTATTTAACTATAATATAATGCTTAATTAATTAAATTTCTAATCATTTACTTAAGTAATCATTTGTTTATAATGTAATGTTATAATTAATGTTTATAATATAATTTCATAATCAATTAAATAATCATGTAATTATGTAATGTTATAATTAATTATTTAATCATACTATAATGAATTAAGTAATAATACTATAAATCTTTAATATAATATTATAATTTATTTATTTATAATAGAATGTTATAATTAATTAAGTAATCATTTAATTATAATGTAATGCTACAATTAATTAAGTAATCGTACTATAAATTTATAATGTAATGTTATAATTATTTAAATTTCTAATCATTTAATTAAGTATTGTACTAATGTTTATGTAGTAAATTATTAATTACTAATGTTTATAATATAATGTCATAATCAATTAAGTAATTATTTAATTAAGTAATGTAATAATATAGTAAATTACTAATGTTTATAATGTAATGTTATAAATTTATAACTAATTAAATAATCATTTAACTATGTAATATTATAATTAATTAAGTGATCATAATATAATGTAATGTAATAATGTTATAATTTAATTAAGTAATTATTTAACTATAATGTAATGCTTAATTAATTAAATTTCTAATCATTTTATTAAGTAATCATTTGAATATAATGTAATGTTATAATTAATATTTATAATATAATGTCATAATCAATTAAATAATAATCTAATTAAGTAATGTTATAATTAATTATGTAATCATACTATAATGAAATGTTACAATGAATTAAGTAATCATACTATAAATTTTTAATATAATATTATAATTTATTTATTTATAATAGAATGTTATAATTAATTAAGTAATCATTTAATTAATGTTACAATTAATTAAGTAATATAAGCATACTGCAAATTTATAATATAATGTTATAATTAATTAAATATCTAATCATTTAATTAAGTATTGTGCTAATGTTTATGTAATTAATTAGTAATCACTAATGTTTATAATAAAATTTCATAATTAATTAAGTAATCATTTAATTATGTAATATTATAATTAATTATGTGATCATACTATAATGTAATATTATAGTGAATTAAATAATCATATTATAAATCTTTAATGTAATATTATAATTAATTAAATTTTTAATCATTTAATTAAATATTGTACTAATGTTTGTAATGAAATTTTATAATTAATTAACTAATTAACTAATTATACTATAAATGTATAATGTAATACTATAATTAATTAAGTTGTACTATAAATCAATTAAGTAATGTTATAAAATTATAATTAATTAAGTAATCATTTAACTATAACGTAATGTTATAATTGATTAAATATAATATTTAACTACTAATTAAATTTATTAATGTTTATCAATTTATCATATATAATTAATTAATTGCTAATTTACTATAGACATACTTAGAACTTGATCATTGAAGTACATAACTAAATATATTATTATTCAATCAAATATACTATTTTATTAAAAAATGATTCTTTTAATTACGGCTGCAAAAAAAAAAAAAAATCGAAAACCGAACCGAACCCGAAAATCAGACCGAAATCGGTTCGAAAAATTTATTATCCAAACTAATCGGTTCGGTTTCGGTTTGTAAAATTAAATAAACCGAAAAATCGATTTGGTTAACCGAGATTAATTTTAAACGGTTAACTGATACGGTTTTGCATATATATATATATATATATATATAAACCCAAATCCCAAAACTTATATTTATAATATATATAAAATCCAAATCCCTAAAAATCCCAAATCCCTAAACTTATAATTTCTCCATTTTCGTTCCCTCTTTCCCTGAGAGTTTCCTTCTCTCTAATTCCTTCCTCCTTCCCCAAAATTTTCTCCTCTCTCTGATTCCAAACATGTACTTTTATTCAATGTCAAAGTGTCGACACAACAAACTCCATTCCCTCTTCTCTCCAGTTCGGCGATTCCCTTCACTTCTCTCCGGTTCTCTCCTTACTTCCTTTTCAAATTTCTAAGGTTTGTTTTATTTTTTAAATTAATCTCTTAATTAGTTAATTTTCCTTTCACTTTACTGTGCCTTTACCTTCGCCGACTTGCACTTTACGGTGATAACGAATTGGTCACCATTTTCAGTCTTCAATTAGCACGAAACCATGATGGCACATGACCAGAAATCACAGGCAAAAGCGTCTTCGAGTTCACAGATGCTATTCTTTTAATTTTTGCGTATTTTGTTGGTTTTGAATTTTTTATTTGTTTTGGTTTTGTTAAAAGTTTTGATTTTGGGGTGTGTGGAGTGCGGAATTTTGGAGTCTTGTATATTATTTTTTAATACTTTAATAATCACTTTATATTTTTAGTACCTGTTACTTGAAGAAGTGGATGATTATAATTTGTTTCTGGCTGTGGGTTTTTTTTTTTTTTTTTTTTAATTTTATTTTATTTCCTAGTGAAACTAGTTTCTACCGGTTGTATTTGATTTTTTGGGTAAGTTTGAATAATCGGTTAACTAGTTCAGTTTGGTTACAAATCGGTTTATGGGATAATTCGGTCCGCATTCGGGTTGGCATATTGCTTGAACCGAAAGACCGGTTCGGTTCAAAAAACACCCCATCCAGTTTGGTTAACCAGATTTTCACACCCCTACTTTTAATTGGATCATAATTTCAATTACACACTTAATTAATCAAAATTTTATTATTCATATATTATAATATATTAAAGTTTTTAATATAGTGTAGTTTATATGTAATAAATATTATTGTATATATATTTAATTAGGTTATTCTAAAATTTTAACTTTTTTTATTTTAAATTTTTTGTTGGTAAAATAATGAAACCCTCTATTATTCACAAATATTTTATTGGAGCCTAGGTTCCAAAACAGGTTTTAAATCAGGTACCTGCTACAGGTTCCAAACCGAGTACTTGTTTCAGATTCTTTTTTCAGGTTTCGGTTTCGGTTCCGGTTTCTCCACACATAAGAATCGGAACCAGAACAAAAACCGTACAGTGTCGGTTCCAATAAAATGAAATCGGAACCTACCCGCATAATGTCGATTCTGGGTAGGTTTCGGTTCATGTTTCGGTTCTACCCGTAGGTTTCGGTTTTACCCGCTACCCGTGCTCACCCCTATTTTTAACAAATACTCTCAACAATCTGTTAATTTAGGGAAGTTCGCATGTTAACTTTAATTTAGTTCTTTGATAATTATTAAAACACATAGGCGCTGCAGAATGTCACCTACATCTGTTAACTTTAATTTAGTTCTTTGATAATTTAACGCATGTTTCGAGTACTTGTGATGAGGATTCCTTGCTGAAGAATGTCAGGCTGTCATGTCACCTACATCTGTTACAGCAAAATGGGCTAGTGGTGACACTACATCTAGTTTCAGTTGTTAAGGTTTTTGCCAAGAAGCTGCCTAGTCCACAATTTGGATAATGAAAATATGTTTCAATTAATTTTTGGGTATCTATTTTACTTTTCACGTAAGTGTTTTATATTCACCAAATTTACTTTAAGGTTTGTTAGAAGAGAAGTCTTAAAGTTTGTAAGCTAGTTTACGCTCTCAATGCAACTTTAAGGCTCTGAACTTGAATTCTAGTGTTCACACTTAACTTTGAAAAGTTAAAGTCTGTTCCTTTCCTTCCAGCTGGGGAAAACTTTTCTTTTATAACATAAAAAAGATGCTTTTGGCGTTAAATGAAATCCTTTTCACCTTCTTATCACTTGCTCTAATCATACAAACCAATGAACAATCGACCTTAAGTCAGTCAATAATTGTCCAGAAGTTAGTTAAAATGGCAGCAATTTGATGTCTAAGTTAAACAATTATCTCTTTGTTATAATCTTTTAAATTGCACTTAATTAAAGACAAAGCACGTATCTTAAGAGTTGTGGATAAATAAAACAAGTTAGAGAAGATCTGTTTATTAGATTTTTAGTCACAGGCAGACCAGTCCAGAAGTTTTCCCATCAGTGGACATTCATGATTTAGAAACTGCCCCAACTTTCGGTTTGTGCAATGCAGGTCTTCACCATCCAAATTCTTCCAAGTCAACCGCGTGGTCTAGAGGTTAGAAAAATGAAACCACAGGGAAAATGCAGCATCAGAAATGATTTAATTAAAGAACTGAACACGAGTTTTTCAAAAAGTTATGATGTTTGTTAAATCTGTTGCCAATTAGAGTTCAGTTTTTAGAATGTCTACTGTCTCTTATCTTGTGTTCTTCCTTATCTGTCATCTTTTACTTGGCTCTTCAGCTCAAGAAGAAGAGGGCTTCAGCCCAAATGTCAACCATTCAATTGTGGATTGCTCGACCAGATAAGCTTCCCCTTTTTCAATGAAACGTATCCTGAATGTGGATTCTTGAGAGTAGATCACTGCAAAGAAGATTTTCCGATGATTCAACTAGGGAAGCATGGGCCAACGTTTTATGTTACAAGAATCTCTCAGGATTATAAGGTCGACCTTCACGATCAACCAGGTCACGGTCCACCAGAATTTGACGAGTGTTTGGGGAACCACAGTAGCTGTGATGAATTCTTCAAAAATTTGACCCTGCCCAGTTCCCCTTTCATCTCTTTTGAATTACCAATCAATCAAATCCAGTTCAGTTGTCCACATAATTACAGACACCCCAAAAATTTAAATGTGGGTTGCTGTGACTCCAGACACTCCATTGTCTTCTACAATGACCCACATTATCAAAATGTATCAACAGTTCCACATAATTGTTCTTGTACCCCTTCAGAATGAACAAGACTCAAAAGGGTGTTGACGTCTTTAATTTATACACCAGTTGGTTCCAACTTCAAGTGACTATAACAGAAGAATGTCTTCAGTGTCGTAGGAGAGGAGGCAAATGTAAAATTGACAAGGGAAAATTTCACTGTCCAATTGCTATAACAGGTATGACGAATAACACCATATTGGTATCCTGATGGAGATTAATTTTTCAATTGCTTGTCTAAAAATTAATACTTTTCTTTGATTTTGATTAGCTTCAGTCCCCTCCTCACCTGAGCTTGGAGGAACTCAGAAAGTTAACTTAGAATGTCACAGCAAGATGTATATTTAGTTTACAGCTTAATTTTAATATTTTTTTTATTATCTTGTCATGAATTCGGATGCTGCAGATAACGAATTTTTTATATGTTTTTTTGTAAGCTGACACGTTCTAACTTTTTTTTGCAGATAAAAAAAAACTTAATCTAGTCCTAGGACTAGGTAATGTACTTCTTTAACCAAATCAACGTTATATATATGAATAGTTCCATTTCAGAAAAGTTTCTAAATCATTTCAAATATTTCTCCCTCATATTTCTAAAATTTACAATGCTTTATCTTTGCTCATTAGGTATTGGAATTGGAGGATCAACCATCCTGACAGTTGGTCTGTTAATTTGGTTCATTCGCTGTCACAAGAAACAAAAATATGCAAACTCTAACTCAAGATTGATTTCTTCCGATCCCTCCTCAAGATCAGAACTGGAAGTGGGCAGTGTCTGCTTTAGGGTCCCGGTCTTCTCCTACAAAGAACTTGCAGAAGCCACTAATAATTTTAGTCATGATAAAGAACTTGGAGATGGAGGCTTTGGAAGAGTATACTATGGTAAGAAGCTAAACAATTTATGTTTCTGTTAAAAAGTTGTAGTTTAGAGGAAGACTTGATTGATTGCTAAATGGCCTATTTGAACCCTTGCAATCAGCAAAACTTAAAGACGGGAGAGAAGTTGCAGTGAAACGCTTTCATGAGCACAACTACAGAAAGTTTGAACAGTTTATGAATGAAATTGAGATCCTCACTCGATTGCACCACAAAAATCTTGTGTCCCTTTATGGCTGCACTTCGCGTCACAGTCCGCAGGGTCTTCTCCTGGTGTATGAATTCATTCCTAATGGAACAGTTGCTGATCATCTTCGCGGCGGAAGAGCGAAGCCTGTTTCCCTTTCATGGCCTATTCGTATGAACATTGCAATAGAAACAGCTAGTGCATTGGCTTACCTCCATGCTTCTGATATTATACACCGCGATGTGAAAACTAACAACATTCTTCTAGACAATCGTTTCAATGTAAAAGTTGCAGATTTTGGGCTTTCCAGATTGTTCCCCGCTGATGCTACTCATGTTTCAACCGCCCCACAAGGATCTCCTGGCTATGTTGACCCTGAGTATCATCTATGTTATCAGCTAACCGATAAGAGTGATGTTTACAGCTTTGGAGTTGTCCTGATTGAGCTCATTTCATCAATGCCTCCTGTTGATATGAATAGGCAGAAACAAGAGATTAATTTGGCTTACTTAGCAGTAAACAGGATTCAGAACTCTGCAATTGAAGAGTTGATTGACCCATGTCTTGGATATCAATCAGATGGAGAAGTTAAAAGGATGACAACTTCAGTCGCAGAGCTGGCCTTCCTATGTTTGCAGCAAAACAACGAAATGAGACCTTCCATGGATGAAGTTTTGAAGCAATTAAAGAGAATTGAAAGTGGAGAGTGCAAGCCAGAGAATCTAAACAATGATAATGTAGTTCAGAGTATGCGGCGAACAGTTTCATCACCAGATTGTCAAGAGGCTTCCTTGCTGAAGAATATCAGTCTGTCACCAACATCTGTGACGTCAAAATGGGTTAGCAGTGACATTGCTTCTAGTCTCACTTGTTAAGTTTCATGCGAACATCCTGCACCTAAAAGGCAGAAAGCTCAAGAACTATGAGCTAGTTCAGGCTCTAAGAGTATGATAGAATAAGAAGAGCTGTTTCTTGTACTTCTTTTTAAGGCTCAGTCCTTGTATTCTAGTATTCATATATTTTAGATATTTTTCAGTAGTGGAACATAAACTTTGAAAAGTCAAAATCTGTTCCATTCCTTCTGCATGGCGGAATTTGTATTTTATTTTGAACATCTTCAATAATTCAAACATAATATGAACATCATAAATGACAGTAATCAAGATGCTTTCTGACATTAAATTAAACATTTTTAACCTTCTTATCACTTACTCCGAAGATATAAGTCAATCAAAAAGCAGATTTTCGGTCAGTTTATAATTGACCAAAGGTTAGTTGAAATGGCACAGCTTGATGTCTAAGGTAAACTTATTTTTAAACTTTGTTGTAATATTATAAACTATGTTTGATTTATATTAAACATGTAACATAAGAGTTGTAGGTAAATAAAATAAGAGAAGAGAAGATCTTTTTCTGATTTTTTCAGTCATTGGAAGACCCCTTTATGATTGAGAAACTGTCCCAAACTTTCTCATGTCTACAAGTCTTCGCCGTCTACTTTCCAAGTCAACTGCGTGTTGTAGAGGATAAACAACTGAAAGTACGGGGAAAATGCAGCACCACAAATAAACTAAAAGATATCAAGTTTTTTCAAAGGGTTCTTACGTTTGTAAAATCTGTTGCCAGTTAGTGATTAGTTTTTAGAATGTCTGGTGTGCCTTATCTTGTGTTCTTCTTTATCTCTCATCTTTTAATTCTTTGTTTGGCTCAAGAAGAAAAGGGCTCCAGCCCAAAATGTCAACATTTCGATTGTGGAATTTTCCGCAATTTAAGCTTCCCCTTTTACAATGAAACGTATTCTGAGTGTGGATTCTTGACAGTAGAAGGCTGTAAAGAAAACAATCCGTGGATTCAACTGGGAAGCTTTGGGCAACGGTTTTATATTAACTGCATCAATAAGGATAATTCACTTGTACTTCGAGATCAACTAGAGTATGAAAAGCCTTTGGACAACCACAGTTGTGTTGAATCCTTGAAAAAATTTACCATTCTCGATTCTTCTTTTATCTCTTTTGATCTATCACCAAACAAGCATACCCTGTTCAATTGTTCCAGTACTCTTTACAGAGTTCCCATTTATTACAAATCTCTCTGCAATGACTCCAGACACTCGATTATCTTCTACGACGGCCCAATTCATGGTGGATTATCAATTCCCCCTCCACAGTGCACGCGTATTCAGTTCCAAATGACCAAGACGCCAAGGGGTCTCGCCTTCTTGAATTTATACACTGGTTTCTTCAGTCTTCAAGTGAATGTAACAGAAAAATGTACCGACTGTTACAACCGAAATGGGAAATGCGAAATTGATAGCAATCGAAAGTTCTATTGTGCAAATGCTATTGAAATAGGTAATTGAACTAGTACATGGTAAGCATTCATGTCCTCCTTGACCTGTTTTACAAAGACTTCCTATTCCTAAGTTATCGGTCTCTTTGATTTAAATAAAGAACCTTTACTTATAAAAACATGCCCCTAAATATACATATTTTTTCAATCACTAACCTGGGTTTGGAGAAGCAGCTTTGTTTTTTGAAGCAAGACCGGTATTTGGTTCAGATGGGAAGCCGTTCTGCAGCTTTTATTCACGGTAGTTTTTATTGTTTAAACTAACACCATTTAAATTGATGCTTCTGTTGCAGAGGATGAAACTGAAAAATTGAAGCTAGTCCTGGGAATAGGTAACATCATTTCATTGAGGAACCATTTGAGTCTATTATAGTACTTAAAATCATTCCATTTCTCTGCTGCATATGTCCTGGTCAGAAAATTTATATAGCTCTTCTTTTTGCTCCTAAGGTATTGGAATCGGAGCATCAACCATCTTGATTGTGGTTCTGTTAGTTTGGTTCATTTGTCTTCGTCGCAAGAAACAAAAATATGCAAGCTTCAACTTAAGATTCACTTCTGCTGATCCTTCCTCAAACTTGAGTTGCAATTAGGCAGTGCTTACTTAGGGGTCCTTATCTTCTCCTACACTGAACTTGCAGAAGCTACCAATAATTTTAGTGTCAGTTGTTAAGGTTTTTGCCAACAAGCTGCCCGATCCACAGTGTGGATAATGAATATATTTTTCAATTATCTCTTTGTTGTAATCTTTTAAATTGCACTGAATNAGGGGACCGTTAAGAGGCACTCATTCGTCATGTCGGGTCGGACAGGTTCAGGAAGTTTACTAAAAAGCTTCATTCGGTCGGGATGCTGGGACGACTAAGTGGGTGAGGCATCTCGGTTACATGTTGTCCACTCGTTCTCCACGGACGGATGATTGGGCGAGATTCTCAATTTTGTTCTGAAGATGGCTCGACCCGGACCATTCCCAACTCATGCATCGGTCGACCAGGTCTTCCGGGCCGGCTGAGCATGGGATGCTTGGGAGGGCTCCCGAATTGAAGAGTTGGTCGAGTGGATTGAGTGGCCAAGTGAATTTGTTGGCGCGTGAAGATTGGATGCGTGTCGGATTCATTCCGGGCGGTACAAACTGAGTCGATCGGAAGGAACGGGCGATTGAGACGTAGCTTCCGTACGAAACAACGGTTTCCCAGGTGATTCGGATCGCGGCCACGTGTATGGTGGCGATCGGTCCGTCGTTTCGAGAGCGGGAAAACGAAGAGACTCCTGACAACTAACCAATCACAGCCTGCCACGTGTTTACATTTTCTTTACAAAATTGGGGAGCAGACTGTTCATTTTCCATTCGCGTTGGTTTTGTGTTTTCATCCGAAAAATTTCTCTTCCTTTTTTCTTCGTTTTTGTCCCAATTTCTTGAGCGAAGGTGGTCTTTTCTACAGTCATCCAAGATAATTTTTTCTTTTTAGGCCGTTTTGCTATTCTGTAGGTAGATTTCTTTTTTGTTGAAATTTTTGGGAGGTAGGATAAAGGTGTTTTGAACTTTTGAGCGGGTTTAAACTGGGTTTCCAAGTGTTTTGGTGTTAGGATTTTGGAGAATAAGCATAGGTTTGAATTTTCCGGTGGATATCCGAGAAGAATCCGACAGTTTCGAATATTTTCTGGGTTTTTTGGATTGGGCCTGGAAGACGAAGTCGACTTAGGCGTTGTTTGGGTCGGTCGGTACGTCTGACCGAGTGGTGAGGAGGCGTGTGGTGTGGACTAGGCGATCGTTCATCCAGGGCGAGTGTGAGTCTTTAGGTTTGAGGGATTGGTGATCGGGGTGAGTAGGTAACTAGGGTTGAAATTGGAGGGGGATCGGTCGTCTGGGGCGAGCGAGTTGGTGCTCTACTGATTTTGGCTTAGGGTTGTTAGGTTGGAGGGATCGACCCAGGGCAGGGGCTCTCGTTGTCGGGCAGGTCGACTAGTAGCGAGCTTTTTCTTTCGGTCGGTTGGGACGGGCGAGTGATCCAATGTCAGGCGATATGTCAGCAGGTTCAAGTCAAGATGCGGTTGATGTCGGGGACGAGTATGAGCATGCCCCGACTATCGTGATGATGCCTGAAGGTAGCATCCTAGTTGGCGTACCGACTGGAGTTAGTGTAGTCGCTCCAGGGTCGAGTGGAGCTGGGCCGAATGGCTCGGGTCGGTATGGTAAGAGTGGGGGAAGACTCCGGAGGGGCTGGCAGTCCCTCTTCATCCGGTAGTAGCTCTGAGGAAGAGCCGAGCCAGTAGGGCAGTGGGATTCTGACCAGGGATTATCCGCCCGTGCTGAAGGATAGTGACGTGTGGCGTATCCGTATACTGTATCATATCCCTGGTTCTGTCAAAGTCCGGACCCCGCGGTCATATGAGCGGGTCGATTGGGAAGCTGAAGGTTAGGTCTGTGTGTATGAGAAATGGTTTCATGATAGGTTGAGGTTGCCTGTGCCTCGCCTCGTCTAGGAGGTGCTGAATCACTTCATTATCGCCCCTTCCCAACTTATGCCAAACGCTTGGAGATTGCTGATGGCCCTGGAGGATCTGTGTGTTCGGCACCAAATTGTGTTCGGGTTGCACGAGCTGCTGTACTCGTACTTCCTGAAGGAGAATGATAAGGAGAAGGGCCGATATCTACTAAACTTGAGGCACGATCGGTCTCATCTGGTTACCGACCTGCGGTCTAGTGATAAAAACTGGAAAGACCGCTACTTTTTCTTGAAGGGTTAGGCCGTTTTCGGAGACAAGGGCATGGGCGAGATCCCGATCGGTTGGCGAGCCACTGGTGAGAACTTCGTCGTTTCTTTCGTACTTTTGATTACTAAATCTTGATTGTGTTTTTTGTTTGCAGAG